ATATTTTTAACCAAAATGTTTTATTTGAAAAAGAATACAATTACTTTTATTAAAATTTCATCTAAATTATTTCACCATTTTGGATAAATTTAGAGAAATTTTTCACCTAGAGATTTTTTAAGAAATTTACCATTTGAAATTTTTAAGAATTTCATCATTGAATAATTAGTATTTAAATTTCAAAAAATTTTATTAAATTTGTATTTTTTTATTTTAAATTGAAAATAAATATTAATTATTATTATTGAAACTTTATCTAAGTTATTTCACCATTTGGGATAAATTTAGAAAAATTTTCTTACCTAGGATTTTTATAGAAATTTACTATTTGAAATTTATAAAAATTTCATAATTGGATAATTAATATTTATTCCCAAAATTTTTATTTTGTAAAAAAAAAAAGTTTCTAATTTTTCCTAAAATTTAATCATGCAAAAATACTTTAAAAATAAATAAACAAATAAAATAAATAAATAAAATAAAATAAAAAATATCAAATAGGATTGGCTTGGCTTCAGTGGTTACGGTACAGTTCGACTTGACTTTAGCACAGAAGGCAACTCTAAAGATGTTGCTCAACGACTTAGCTTGGCTCGGTTTCAGGTTCTAGTTGCCAAAAGTGAGTCGTAGGTTAGGGCGCTATGAGTTGGATTACTCGAATGGAAATGGGTGGATCTTAAGGTTGTTTGACCTTCAAAACGACATTGTTTCAATGGAGTATAAATAGGCCAAAACTTTCTTTTTCCTCAAATTTCTTTTTTCTTTCTTTCTTTCTTTTTCCTTTTCTCTTTTCACTCTCTTTTCTCTTTAAAAACTAATGAACGCTGATTGAATCTTCATCGATCTAAAAAATCTTATTCAAATTTGGGTTGGTTCGCTTGATATTCGTCGAAAGTTCATCGATTTTTGGAAAATTGACACTAAAAACTAGAAAACTTGCTCGAAAGTCGCTGAAATTTTCAAAGATTGTGAAAAAATTCAAACAAAAACTAGAATTTCTAAAAATTTCTAGAAAATTACAAATCTTCTTTTCAAAACAACGATTTCCTTAAAATTTCTGGCTGCTTTCGTGTGTGCTTTTTCTTTGCCTTTCTGTGTCAATCTTTCTGTGTGTATTTCTTCATTTTGTATGGGTATATCTTGATTAGAACCAAGAGAACCCTATTCTAGAAAGGATTTTGATCCCCTTTAAATTTTAACTTCAGATTTTAAGTCTAACCCAAACCCAAACAAACAATTTCGTTTAAACTAACCATTTGATTTCTTTTTCATTTTTTTAATTTTTTATTATTTATTTTTTTAATTAATAGAAACAAGTAAAAACCCAAACAGATTGGGATGTCTACACTTAAGTGTGTCAGTTATATTTTCTTACACTTTAGGCGATAAAAAAAGACTCTATAAGTTGCTGCTATATCCGAAAGCCTAGAGAAGACATTCTTACTATGACAAATAAGTAAGGTGACATATAGCCCCCTTGCCTTACTCCTCTAGCTCCCTTAAAATACCTAACCAATTCTCCATTAATTGACAATGAGAATAATGGCTTAGTGAGACAACTTTTAATCTAGTTGATAAATCTCTATAGAGACCTCATAGCCTCAAGCACTGTGATAAAAAAATCTCAATTAAAAGAATCAAAAGCTTTCTTTAAATCTATTTTTAATGCCCATCTTGAGGAAAACATTGTTTTGCTATAATCTCACTAGTTCCTGTGCCAGTAATACATTATCTGTAATGCTTTTCCCTTTGATGAAGGCACTTTGATCTTTGCTCACCAACGTTTACAACACTTGTTGCAATCTACTCGCCAATATCCTAGTAATGCTCTTAGTAAATAACAGAGCAGCATAAGATGGGTCTGAAATCATGCTGGTTGGAAACTGACTTGTTGGCACCAAAGCAATAATAGTGGAGTTAAAGTTGATAGCAATTCTCCATTTTGAAAGAAATGTGCAATGGCTCTATTAACATCCTCCCCAATTATGAATTACAAGATATTTGATTATTTAATAAGGTCTACTAATGTGTAATCTTATGTGGCAACATATATTATTAAAACATCAAATAGTTTTAAGTAAATTTATTCCATCAAGTATTCAATTTTTAAAATTTTCAAAAATTAAGTTTATCCAAATATTTTAATGCATATAAAATTTATCCTAAATTTAATCCAAACAAAACAAATCTCATAACTCGCTCTTAGCCATTCAAATGTAATTTTAAAAGTTTAAAACCCTAAATCTTAGAAACTATAAAATTCATACACAATCTAAATTAATAGCCTTGTATATTTAAATAAATAAAATTTGTGGTTGAGTAACTATTGTTTACCATTCCATTTGGTTTACCATTCTATTTTTACCTCTCTTTTCCTATGATTTATTTAAAATAAAAATATCTTATTTCAATTTAAAATCATAATATTATGTTAATTTAAAATTATACAAACTTTTTTATATCTTTCATACAAGAGATACACATTATCATTAAATGATTAAAAGTTAAGAGATCAATAAATATGTCATTCAAAAATAACTGAAAGCAATTGAGATGCATCCAAAATTACATTTAAAACTTTTGAAATATTTAATCTCAATAGTGAATAAATTGTAAGAGATGGTAAGAATGAGTCTCCCCGAGGTGCTTAAAGTCCATTAACTTTAACCAAAGAAACTGAAACACAAGTAGGGGTGTAAATGATACATTAGTACTCGTAAGCTACTCAGGTTCGATTTGAATAAAACTTGAATTCGGTTTGATTATTATCGAGTCGAGCTTGAGCTCAAGTAACTCAATTCATCGATCGAGCCGAGTTCGAGTATTCTTATACCCGGTTCAAGCAGTTTACGAGCCTAATCGAGCTTTTATATTTAAATATTTTTTATTATTTTAATTAATAAAATATCTCGAATTTGAGTTCGAGCATAAATAATCAAGCTCTTGTTGAGTATAAGAATCGAGCTTATTTTTACATATTAATCGAGCTTAATCGAGCGAGCTCGAGTAGCTTGATTTCAATCACGAATCAAATTCAAGTTAAAAAAATAAAATTCGATTGAGTTCGAGCTGAGTTGACAGTCGAACTCAAACTCGAGTTTCTCACTGTATTGACTCGACTCAACTCGATTATACCTCTAAATACAAATAAAGATGAAAGCCATATGAAACCAAGTGAAGTTAACATAGAAATTTCTGCTTAAGATCGAAAAGCTGTGATCTTGAAAAATATCGGTGAAGGTGACTAGATTTGTTTCACTGTGGCTATCAATGTTCTGCCTTTATCAATTGGTGACAGTCAAAAAGTGCCAACTTTCATTGTAGATAAAAGATGTTAAAAAGATCAAATCAGAAATGAAACAGGATACAAAGGTTATATAAGGAATGGAAATTGTATGGGACTAAGACATTGATAATTTAAAATATAATATGATAATATAATATAAATATGTTATAAAAAAAATATGTAAGTAATATAATTTAAAAATTTAATAATAATTATATATGGATTTAATAAAATTTAAAATATATATTTTATATTTTTATATTTAAATAAATTATAATATATAATTTTTATGTAAAATATGATATGAATATATAAATTTTAGTATTTTATATAAACAAAAAGTATGAATAGTCAAATCTAAATAGGAGAATAAAAAAGAGTGGTGGCAGATAATGTTCAGAGCAAATTGGACTTAAAAAATGCATGCAAAGAAAAAATCACTCATGATTTTCAAAAGTAAAAAGATGTACATGATTATCAACTTTAATTTAATTTTTTTCTACACGTTTTCTATTTCTTGGTTTTTTTTTAATACATGGATTATATTTTCTTCTTGATTATTCAAGTTAATTATCATATTAATTTTGATTTCTTTAGGATTTTCTTTTAATCTATTGTAACTGCCAATTTGATATGTTATATGCCTCTCTATAATTTTTATTTTTGTATGTACAAGCTCCTTTCTATATTATTACTTGAACATTTTAAAACAGTTTGTTTATCATTATTAATGAATAAATTGAATATAATAAGATTGTCTGAGTAGTATTTATATTTTTCAATATTTTTGAATATTTTAAAATAATTATTTGGTTGTCTTTAAAGAGAATTTAAATTATAATGAAATTTTATTTTTTAAAATAAAGAAAAGAATATGAATTTTCTTTCTTAATTTTATTTTCCATTTTTCCTTTCTAATTGTACAAGGTTTATTTTACTATAATCTTTTTCTAATTTATCTTCAATTTGTATAATTCCATTTTAGTTTGGTACTTTTTTTAAGGTACGTTCCTATAGAATTAGTAAGTCTTGAATCATATTTTTTTTGGACATAAAAATTTTTATTTAACATGTTTGTGTTATCTTTGTATTAAATGAAAATTTGAACAATGAAAATGAAAAAAAGATTATATAATTATTATCATTACTATTATTATTATTATATTTTTATTTTAGTAATTGATCTTTTTAATTAACATTTGCATCATTTTATAATTATCTCAATTTTGACAAATCAACTCAAAGTATATTATAACCTAATTATATATACCTAATTCAAGGTAAATTAAATATTATTAATTTATATATGAACATACATATGTGCATACATATTTAAATAGATAAAACTAATCATTACATTGTATGGGTCAAAAGTTAATTTTTAGGATTTTAAAATACCTAATTTAGAAAAAAAAAAAAATTGGGTAAGAATTAGATTATTTAAATTTTAAGATACTTGTATTCATTCAAGTAAAAAAAAAAAAAAGGATTTTTCATTATATACGAGTAAAATTGACATGTATAGTATTTGAGTTTGACTCTCTTTGAACTTAATTGCTTGTCCGAAAACGGTTGTTGACTTTTGTCGTATCTCAGTTGATTATTGCTAGCTAGGAGCCTAGGATATGGTATTTATTTCTAGGTGGGGAATCGAACAGGGTATTAATTCTTACTGTAAAGTCTCATAGCATCATTTTCTTATCAAGACCCCATTGTCAAACATCAGTCTTCGAGCATTAAATACATGCATAAAAAGTTTCAATTATTTTACAATATTGTCAATCTTAATTTATGCTCATCAAGACGACTAATTTATCAGCAGGTCACTAGGAATTGTCGCTGTAAAGCTTGTGAATATTGATTGGGGAGCTACTGCTTTCATCTCCATATAGTAACTGTTTTGCGATTATAAGATTTGCAGCTTCGGTGGGGTGATATGCATCCCAAAACACATACTTGGATCGATCCTCACACAAAGCTGAAGCGCTTGTGTTTGCATCTCGGCTCTTAAAGCAAATGAATGGTGGAAAATACCCTCCACAACATGGTTCATCAGCATTCTCAAAACCTAGAAGTGTCCGAACATATAAATTTAGCAAGCTATATCGTCATTTCTGATTCGAAAACATAATTATGGAGCATGCATTAATTAGTTCTATGTACAAAAGGATCAAATGATGTTATCTCCTATTAATTAAATTTGGATTTTTTTGTGATTTTATATTTAAATTCAAAAATTTTATTTATTGATAATTATGATTATTTTCAGTGTTTTCAAAAAAAAAAAAAAAACATGTATGTATGCTCAATTTGGTTACTATTTTTGTTATTTGTTTTTTATTTTTGAAAGTAAAAGGCAAAAATAAAAAAAGCAAATTTCATTATAAAAACAAATAGTGTTTATGAATAATTAAAAATTAAAATTGTAATCTTTAAAATTATAATGCATTATTTTATTTTTTTTATCATTTAACTTTTTTACTATTTATTTTTATAATAAACTGTAATTTTTATCATTGTTAACAATTTTTTAAAATGAAAAAATATAGTAAGAAAAAAGTAATAAATGTGTCAATAAAACAGAAAATTAATTAAATTTTGTAAAATTATGATATATATATATATATATGTATGTATGTATACATGAAATAAAAAGATAAGTTTTTGAACTAACCAAATTGGCGATAGTTAGCAATGATGTTCATGAAAACATGGTAGGAGTTTCCGAATACAAAGATTGCTTCCGGTCCCATCTCTTGATTTAAACGATTCAAAAGCTCTTTTAATTTCTCATTGTAGCGCTGGATCAACGCATTCACCTCACCCGAGCATTTTCCGCTTGGCAATAGCTTGAATGCTCGAACAAAAGGTATGCAACCAAGTGGCCCAACACCAACAACAACCAACTTCCTGGCCCCCAACTCATGCAATCGCTACGCCAAATATATATATATATATATATATATCGAATTTCTGATTAGTAATTGCACATTCTTTTATGATTTATCAAGAGAATTCCAATTTTCATAATAGAAAATGCTAAACGATACCAACAATTTTTCAATATAAACAAATCCGAATAGATAGACATAAAAATTTTATCTTAACAAGTTGACATTAATCATGTTATTTATTTGTTGTCTTACTTTTGGATCAAATAGTTTTTTGGGACTATAAAGCAGTACTCTTTTATTTGCACAAAGAAAGATGTAACCCAACCCAAATATAAGTGAATGGATTTTAAATACTGAAATTTAAATTTAAATTTATTAGATGTTATCTTTTAAAAATAATAAATAAATAAATTAAATTAAACTAAGAATTTAAAAGTATTGTCCTTTCTCCATTGCTATTTTATCAAAAAAATTTATGCTATTTTAAAAATAAGTGGTCAAATATCACACATCCCATTGGGGCGGGTATCCATATATAAATAGAAGCTTCCTAACTTTAACATGTTTGGTAAGAGAAAAAAACCAAAAAAAGAAAAGAGGGTGGAAAAAAACTACTTTCTTTTCTTATTTTGTTGTTTAGTAAAAAAGAAATAAGAAAGAAGGAAAATGAGTAGATTTATATATATATATATATTTTCAAATGTTTCAAGAAAATACTCATTTAACTTAAATTAATAATTTTATTTATAATTTTAAAATTTTACTTGTATAATCTTTCTTTCCTTTTATCTTTCATCTTTTATGCCAAAAACAATTAATGAAAAAAAACTTTATTTTCTCTTTTCTCATTCTTTCCTATCCCTTCCTTCCAATTTTCTTCCATCTACCAAATATAATTTATAGGAAAATTTTTGAATGAGTGGAAAGTCGTATATTCTTACCTTAAGTTGAATGGTCAAGTTGGAGATCATGAAATCTAGGAAAGTTGTAGGGAAGACCTTGTCATGTCCCAGAAATGGTATCGATGGTTGGACATAGTTCAATATATCATTGGACCCACTTGTGAGAGAGAAGATTGCCTTCTTTAAAAATTCCTTGGTGCGATTTTCACCCATCGCATTCACCATGAAATTTCTATTTTGCTCGAAATAGTTCACTTGTTCCCCAAGTGGAATTCTTCCAATCTGCATAGAAGTTCTCTTATTGTTGATTTTATTCTACTTATAATTAAACAACATATATAATGAATTGTACTCACAAAGAAAAACCCTGTTTCATCCATAATTCCCGAAGCCCCAGAAGCATAATTCATTCCCCTGAGAATCACCTCTGCTTGAGTGTTTGGGGCAAGGTAAGGTGGTGGAAAGGATTTGGCTCCGAGAGCTTGACCTGATTCATCCAAAAATAAATAAGGGTTCCAATATAAGTTTGAAAAAAAAAAAAAAAAAAACAACATGTGGCCTGTTTGAGACATCACTTTCAAGGACAAATGATGAGCAAAACAACTCAGAAGAGTGATATTAATTTCATGTACCACGCCACCTCCCTTCTTTCTCCTCTCTACCAAACAACTGGCCTTACATTAATGGCTTCTGAAGTTCTTCAGGATTTCTTTTAATATTTCAACAGTCGTGCTTTTGACAAATTAAAATCCTATACAAGCTGAAGCCTCCGAACAGGTAGATAGAACTTGTAAAGCGAATTAATCGTTACTATATTGCTTGTAGTACATTAATTCCACTAATCTAGCTTGTGTTACTCGTCTGATCATATCAATCCTAGCAAGTGGCTAGAAAGCCAGAAGGCCTAACCGATGATTATAAAAGACCAGCATTACCTATAATGTCAGCTATTGTTCGACCATTGGTAAATCTTCCGGTAGGTTGCCCACCCGAAGGCTTGAAGTCGATGCCATAAGGAGGGGAATCAGCCTTTGAGAGGGTGAACAGATAATCATTGTTTCCCGCATCAACCAAGGAGTCCCCGAATACAAAAGACGTGAAACACAAACTTGGCACTACATGCAAGGAGAAAACAATTAGTAGTACGAGGGAAAAAGGCTTGGAAATAATTCCGAGGGTATCCATTTTTTCATTGAAGCACATTGTTGTTACTTAAGGCATGCATGACTAAATAAGTTGAGCCGGTTTTGTACTTGCCGATATTATTACATATTTTGGTTCAGAAGCTGAGTTACATAATTGTCCTTTGAGCGGCCGGTAAGATTTTGAACTGGTCACTTGGATTAGGTCAATTGTGTGGTCCCAGAAAGAAATTATACGAAGAAAGTTTAAAAGGAAACAAGTGCGCCCGAACGAAAAAGAAAAAAACAGTTTTTTTCTTATAACCATTGATAAGGACTCGTTGACGGGTTCAAAAGAATGCAAAAAGTACCAAAGGTCTGAATACACGCTCATTCTACCATCAAACAACCTCTATCTATAATTTAAAATTTGATAATATCCTAAATAAATAGTATATGATCAAAATTTGAGCCAAGTCATATTTTTTTATTTTGTTTTATTTTGATTTTTTTGTTAAATTATTTTATATTTAATAAATATATTTTTTATAGATTTTATTTTTAAAAAGTAGAACTCTTTTTATACCAGGCTTTTTTTTTAGTTTTTTAAAATTTTTTAAAGATAAAAATATTATATTTATAAATAATTAACATATAATTCATACATTTATTCATTTATTATATAAATTCTACTTATTTAGACTTTTATTTTATTTTCATTCAAAGTTTCGATGAGACTCGTTATATATATTTTATTTAATTTTTTTGGCCAACTTTTTTGTTTTTATATTTTTCATTTAAATAAATTTGTAAAAAAACTCAATTGAAAATATATTTTTTTAAATTAAGATTGAATTAGGACGGGTTTAGTTTTTTTTTTTTATGAGAAATCAGGAGCAAAAATATGTTTAAAATGATTTAGCTTAACTCATTTTAAAAAATATATAAAAGTATATGTGTTATTATTAATTGAGTTATATATATATTTTAAATTTTATTTTAAAAATTAATATTTTAAACTCGATAAAGATGTTTATGTGATACTTTATATGAGCTTTTATTTTTTATTTTTTATGTTTTTGTCCTTTTTACTTTTTTCTAATTTTTTATCCTTAGAAATTTTCTATTAAATAAAATTTGTAAGGATACGAGGTGATTTAGATATTCAACTGTCATTCATATTTTTTTTACTCTTCATCTTTTGCTTTTTTTAATTACCTAAATATTACAACAAAAAAAATGAATAAATGAAAATAACAAAACAAACAAATTTTGATCCACCATCAGGCATGGCACCTCACTTAGTAAGTATAATTGTTGGATCTAGTCTAGATAATATTTCGGGTTTATAATTATATAAAGACCGGTGGAAGCATGTTTAGAGCATTACATTGTAGTTTGTATGGATTTCTTAAGGCCAAAACCCACAATAGTTTAAGGAGTTTATAGACCATTTTGTTTCTGAATAACTAAGATTGAACTGTTGTCAAAACCAATATCAAAAGGCTATTGTTCTCCAAAAAATAATAAAATTTTGAGACATTCTATATCTCTTCCAGAGATTGGTATCCTCTTTCTAGCTAGCTAGATTTAGGACAAATAACAAAAGTAAAGCAGTAGAAATTCAAAGCATATAGAATTTTAATTTTCATTCCACCCACCACTTTCCAGGGTCTCTTGATCAATAGGATATTTAAAGACAAACAATTCTAGGGTCCGAATTTCTAAGATATTGTAGTTATAATGCAGAAATAGCATTAGTTTCACTCTCATGAACAGAAGTACAGATTCCGAAATATTGCTTGTTTTTTAGTCTTGACAATTTATAAAACCCTCCCAATTCATAAAGCATCCATCACATAAAGGATTTATTATAATTTATTTAGATTCTAAACAAAAGAATGTGCAACTCAATGGTGTCCATCGATAGAAACCATCCGATCCAATTGAATAAACACAGTAATTAACGACACTATCATCTAAACCATTAAGGATATACACTAATGATGATGCTCCTTCAAATGACCCCCTTTTTATTAAGTGCTCAGCATAGCAAGCTGGTCCGATATTTATGGTGAAATAAATTTCGAAGTATCACTGAAAAAATTACATTAATTCTCTCAGAACTGGACACTATAGGGGGGTGTGTGTGTGTTTTTTGTAAACAAAGCTATTGGGTCTGAAATCCACACGGCAAGAGTTTGTATTCAATTTTGATTGATGCTGATAATATCTATATATGTCTACTCATGTTTAATGACAAAATAAACTATGTACTGATTGCTTCTATGTATCAGCTTTTTCGATCATTAGCATTCTTATTGCTTTCCTCTTTGCATATATACTTCTTGATGTAATCCAGACAATTGGATCATCTATTAGCCTGTTAATTAGGCAGGAAATAGTAGGTAATCACCTATTTTCAAGTCAGTATCACTATCATAAATCAATTAAGGCATGTACATACGAAGAAACACAAGATAACATCAACCGTATTTTGAAGATGAACAAGAAATTAAAGGGTTTGAAGCTGTAGCTCACTGCGAATAGAGGCTCATTAACTCTGCTCATTGCTATTCTCGAAACATCATAATCAGAAAAAGTTGATATCTCAGAAAAAACGAATTAGTTTGGTGAAGAGAATTCCAAAACATGCGCTGCTATTAATTAATTTGTCAGAATAATTGTAGTGTTGGGCATTTATCCACAGATATGATAGTGCCTTTTCATTATTTCCTGGCGTGCATCGCACCGTTGCCGACCTAAATTCAGGGTTCCTTTGGATTCATAAGCACCTTCCCTCCGGTGGAGGTGCAATTAGAAAGTGTTTTTGTGCCAATAGGCATGAGGTAGTCAAAAATGGTTTTTAATTATTTTGAGAGTTGTATGTGATGTAATTAACAAAAGCAAGGGATTGGTTTCGGTCGTGAACGAATAGAGATCATAAGTCTTTTATGTTGAAATCTTTTAGAAAAAATTAGTTCCGAGTAACAATGCTTTGCATGATTTTCCTTCAGAGAATGTGCAGCATGTGCTGAGACGGGTAATTTCAGCTTTGTCTCTATTCATGGTATGGACACAGTGGCCCTCCTTTTTCCCAATTTAGCGTAGGGGAGTTAATGACTTGGTTAAGAGGAAGCACTGATCGTCATATTTATTTCAAGCAAAGACCAATTATTCTTCTTTGTTGACATTACATTAAGCCCTCGAGAGGACGGTGTTGGTGATTGTCACTACCAAAGGGAATATGAGATTCATGTGGAGAAGAAAGCATGCAATAAATACAAGAGGTTTGGACAAAGCTGTTCATTTTTGAAAGGAAAAAAAAATATTAACTTTAATGGTTGGCCAAAGCCTCCAGAGCAAGGGATGAGAAAAAAAAAAGTCTAAAATCGAATCTGCCAGTGGCAAGGAAGTGGCTCCTAGTTACTTTTCTCTGTTTTCCTAATTCTGAACCCCTTTTTATTGGATTTGAGAAGAATTATAGCAATTTTTTTTTTCACCCTGGGGGTTCAACCACCACCTATCCTTTTTTCCTTGGCCAACAAACGATGTTAAATGAAACAATTAATTCATTTATCCGCACCTGTTAGTGTGTTTCCTCCCTCTCTCTCTCTTCCACCCATTAGGCTTTAAAGGAAGCTGTCCCACACGGTTCCGTATATATTCTACTGTTGTTTTTCTGTTTATGTTAGTATTGGATTAGCATATTATGATCGGAGAGAACAGAGAAGAGGGATGAGATAGTTTATTTTGAGGCCTTCAATTTGTTTCACAGACATTTTCAACTCTAAAAAGCTCAATCAGTGCCTTGACATTGTCCTTGTAACTCTTGTCTCTCTGTTTGTCGTTCTCCTTAACTCCTGATCTTTGTGGGGTAATCAGCTATTGCGGTAGGGTTGGGAAGAGGGGTTCTCTCAAATGGATGTAATGTGTGAAATCAGATCGGTGCTACCATTAATAGGAGAAGTTCTGAATCAGGCTGTGAGCTTCATCGTCTTCTGTATTTTCGACCTTCTTGATTTCATTTTATGTTTTGTTTACAAAGTGGCTGACTTCTGCATTGAAGCTGAATGGAAGACTTGTTCCTGCTCCTCTGCTAACGAAGCCATCACTGGCAGTGGCAAGATCTTAGTCTCAGAACAGGGTGAGTCCAAGATTGTTCGCCTTACTTCAAGCAAGTTGCAGCTGGAGGACATTTCTGATACCCTCTATTCACGTCCTTCTCTTGTGACCGAGTTCTCAAAGTTTGCCGTTAATGAGCTGAAGAAGCTCAAATTGGATGGCATTATCATACAATCTTGCGAGAAGATCAAGAAAGGAAGAGTGAGATCAACGTTGACCGTTAACTCTACCATTGTGGAAATGCTTCAGGGCAAGATGGTTGGGCAGCATTTGCAGCCCGTTCCTAGATGGTCTGATTGCGATTGTGAATTCTGCAATTCTTGGACCTCTTCTGGAAAAGACACCCTTTTCGTTAAAGCTGAGGGACCAAAAGGTAAGTGAGATTCAATCAAATATTAGCCAAATGTGATTAAATAACTATCATCATATTACTATTAACCTTCATTTATTACATTCAGTGTTTTGAAACTAGCTGTTGCGTTTGTGATGTCAGATAAAGCACGAGAAGATGTGTTATTCATTCATGGCTTCATTTCGTCATCAGCATTTTGGACTGAAACTTTATTCCCCAACTTTTCAAACACTGCTAAATCAACTTATCGTTTTCTGGCACTTGATCTACTGGGTTTCGGGAGAAGTCCTAAGCCAACCGACTCCCTTTACACCTTAAGAGAGCATGTGGACATGATTGAAAAGTCCGTGCTTGAAGCATACAAAGTTAAATCTTTCCACATTGTGGCACATTCTTTAGGCTGCATCTTAGCCCTTGCCATAGCTGTAAAACACCCGGGATCTGTGAAGTCCCTCACCCTACTTGCACCGGTAAATTCCTTCTTTTACCAATATTCATTTCTTAGATAAAAATTTTTATCATTGCAAGAGTAGTATCATGTATCATCTAACCAGAATATATGTATGCATATGGCAGCCATATTATCCAGTGCCAAAGGGTGAATCAGCAACACAATATGCTATGCGAAGAGTAGCGCCCCGACGAGTGTGGCCTATGATGGCTTTTTGTGCATCCGTTGGTTGCTGGTACGAGCACATCTCCCGGACGATTTCCCTGGTCATGAGCAAGAACCACCGGCTGTGGGATTTTCTCACTAAACTTATCACCAGAAACAGGTAATAATAATTTCGCTAATCCTAATTCCTAACACCTCCTCAGATCGTGTCCACCAAAAAAATGAAAAAACCTAACTGCAATCCCATACAATACAGAAAATATTAATCCATGTTATTATCATCTTTAACC